AAAACATTCTTTTCAACAAATGGTGTTTAGAGAAACAGTCACAGGCAAAAGGAGGAAACCCCTTACGTTATATCACATATAAAAATTAACTTAAAATAGAGGCACTTGGGTGGTACATTTGGTTAAGTCTCCAACTCCCATTTTCAGCTCAGGTCATGATCTCAGGGTCATGAGATTCAGCCCCATGTGGGGTTCCATGCTCAATGGGGAGCCTGCTGAAGATCCTCTCTCTCCCTTTGCCCCCCACCACAGTCTCTCTCTCTCTCCCTCTCAAATAAATAAATCCTAAAAAAAAAAAAATTTAAAACTTTTGTGTGTCCCAGGACACCATCAAGAAAATGAAGAAACAATCGACAGAATGAGAGAAAAAATTTAAAAATGTATTATCTGATAAGGAATTGAATCTACAGTATACAAAGAATTCAATAATAAAAAGCCAATACAATTTAAAAATGAGCAAAGGATCTGAATAGACATTTCTTGAAGGAAGATCTACAAGTGACCAATAAACACATGAAAAGACACTCAACATCATTGGTCATCAAGGAAATGCAAATCAAACCCACAACGAGATACCATTTCATACCCATTATGAGAACTAGAAGCCAAGTCAGATAATAACAAGTGTTGATAAGGATATTAGAGAAACTGTAACCCTCACATTCTGCTGGTGGGATTTTAAAATGATGCAGACACAGAGAAAGATAATTATCATATGACCTCTCTGATATGACAAATTTGACAATTTGGGGATAGAGAAGAAAGGTGACAAATTTGAGAGGCAGGGTGGGGAGGTTGTGCAGTAGGGAAGGAAAAATGAAACAAGATGGGATCGGGAGGGAGACAAACCATAAAAGACTCTTAATCTCACAAAACATGCTGAGGGTTGTGGGGGGTGGGGGGGTGCGTAGGGAGAGGGTGACTGGGTTATGGACACTGGGGAGGGTATGTGCTATGCTGAGCCCTGTGAAATGTGTAAGCCTGATGATTCACAGACCTGTACCCCTGGGGCAAAGAAAACATTATATGTTATTTTTAAATTAATTAATAATTAATTAATTAAAAGAAAATGATGCAGACACTTTGAAAAATAGTCTGACAGTGTCTCAAATGAGTGAACATAAGGTTAACACAAGATTCATTAATTCTACTCCAAGGGAAATGAAAACATATGCCCACACAAAAACTGATACATAAATATTTAAAGCAGCATTATCTATAATAGCCAAAAATGAATACAACTCAAATGTCTATCAATGGGTAAATGAATAAACAAAAGTGATCTATCCACATAATGGGGAAGATAATTGGGATATAAAATATAAAGAACAAAGAAACATGTTGAACTCCACTGTGAGTATGCAATCAACAAAATTCAGATTTAGAAACTCAGTGGTCTAGGTTCTTCAACAGATAAGTTTTAAGAAAAATAAGGGGGTAGAGGACATTACTGTAGTTTAAAAGAGACTTTAAAAACATATAAGGGGGTGCAGCGCCTGTGGCTCAGTGGGTTAAGTGTCTACCTTCAGCTCAGGTCATGATCCTGGCGTCCTAGGATGGAGTCCTGCATCGTGCTCCCTGCTCAGTGGCGAGTCTGCTTCTCCTTCTATCCCTACCCCAGATCGTGTTTGCTTTCTCTTTCGTGTGCTCTCTCTCACAAAAATAAATAAATAAAATCTAAAAATAAATAAATAAATATTAGATTTTTTAAAAAATATTTTATTTATTTATTTGACAGAGATCACAGGTAGGCGGAGAGGCAGGCAGAGAGAGAGGAAAGGAAGCAGGCTCCCTGCTGAGCAGAGAGCCCCATGTGGGGCTCAATACCAGGACCCTGGGATCACGACCTGAGCCAAAGGCAGAGGCTTTAACCTACTGAGCCACCTAGGCACCCCTAGATCTTATTTAAATAAAAAAGCAAGGCTAGTTTTAACAAATATACCACAATAATGTAAGATTATGATGTTAGGGAAAGCAGAAATTGGGTGAGGGCTGTATGGGAATTCCTACTATGTCTGCAACTTTTCTATAAATGTAAAATTATTCCAAAATAAAAGGCATATTTTTTTTAAGATTTTATTTATTTGAGAGAGAGAGTGAGCTCAAGAGAGAGACAGAAAGAGAGCACATGCACACATAAGTCGGTGGGGGGCCGACAGAGAGAGAGGGAGAAGCCGGCTCTTCACTGAGCAGAGAGCCCCATGTGGGGCTCAATCCCAGGACTCTGGGATCATGACCTGAACCGAAGGCAGATGCTTAACGGACTGAGCCACTCAGGTGCCCCTAAGAAGCCAATTTTAAAAAGAATGCCTAGGGATAGAGAAGAAAGTCTAGGGTGGGGACACCTGGGTGGCTCAGTCATTAAGTGGCTGCCTTTGGCTCAGGTCATGATCCCAGGGTCCCGCATCAGGCTCTCTGGCCGGCGAGAAACCTGCTTCTCCCTCTCCCACTCCCCGTGCTTCTGTTCCCTCTCTCACTTTGTCTCTCTCTGTCAAATAAATAAATAAAATCTTTAAAAAAAAAAAAAGTCTAGGGGGGCGCCTGGGGCTCAGTGGGTTGAGGCCACTGCCTTGGGCTCGGGTTGTGATCTCGGTGTCCTGGGATGGAGCCTTGCATGGGGCTCTCTGCTCGGCGGGGAGCCTGCTTCCCCCCCTCTCTCTGCCTGCCTCTCTGCCTACTTGTGATCTCTGTCTGGCAAATAAATAAATAAAATCTTTTTTAAAAAGCTATCATTTAAAAAAGGCTAGATTAAACTAAGTGCATGAACTTAGATAAGTAGATAAAACTATAAAGAAATGTAAGGAACTGAATATAATAAAAGTCAACATCATGGTCACTTTTGGGATAAGGGGAAAAGGTGTAACTGTAATAGGGCACATGGAGACTCTTTGAAGGGGCAGCAAAATTCTATTTTTTTAAATTCAAGTATAATTAATGTAAAGTATTATATTAGTTTCAAGCATATAATATGATTCGATGATTCTATGCACTACTCATTGCTCATCATTGATGTTTCTTAATCTCCTTCACCTATTTAAGCCATTCCTCCACCCCAGAATTCTATTTTTTTATCTGGCAGTGAAGCTATATATTCATTGTGAGCGTTTTTTGTATCTCTGTGTTGTTTTACAATAAAAGGATTTCTTAAAAAACATGCTCTAGCAAATTTATTTCAAACATAATGTGAAGTCTCATAGAATCCAAATTTACCGTGAACAAGTTACCAATTTTATCTCTGTGGACTAAAAGAGATTATATCTGTTCTCATAGAACAGATACCTTCAGCAGGAAGTATTTTTTTAAAAGAACTAAAACTAGGCCATGTTAAATATTAACTGGCACAAAATTTACAAATAATGAACAAGAGGGTTTAGAAGGGGATATGTTTTGGGGGCAAGGATTGGGAAATATGGGGAGCATCAGAAAAGGAATTTAAGCTCTATCATGAAGAGAGGGTTAAAGTGGGACATAGATCTTACGGAGGTTACATTTATTGAGCATTTACTATATTCTAATTTTTTTCATTCACTAAACATTATTTGATTCTCACAACAAACCAATGAAGCTGGTCCTATTATTATTTCCATTATACAGATAAAGTAACAGAAGCACAGAGATGGTCTGTGTAGGGCACCAGTGGTAAGTACAGTTGAAAAGGTACTCTGGAGTGACTTGGGGCAAACGAGTTTACCTTTCTGTGCCTTAGTAACCTCTTATTTTAAATGGGGATGATGGGGGAATGGGCAAAATGGGTGAAGGGGAGTGGGAGATACAGACTTCCAGTTACAGAATGAATGAGTCATGGGAGTAAAACGTACAACATAGGGGATATAGCCAATTATACGGTAATAGTATTATAAGGTGTCAAATGGTAGCTACATTTGTAGTGATCATGGCATAATGTAAAAAAGATGAATTGTTATGTTGTACATCTGAAACTAATGTGATATTGTATGTCAACTATTTTCAAATAAAATTAATAAAATAACTGAATTATCACTCATAAATTTAAAAAAAAATGGGGTGATGATAATAGCAGCACCTTATCATAGGGTTGTTGTGAAAATTAAATGATGTAATGCATGTAAAGTATTTAGAACATTTTCTGGCATGAAGCAAATACTCACTGAAGTTAAATATTATTGTAAAAACAGAATAATGGTTTCTAGGAAAAGTGTGTGAGAATTATCCACCATCCCCCCATTTCTTGTGTTAAGTTGGACCACTAGGTCCCTTTATGTACTTCCAGATTTGCTATTTGTATATTAGACTGCAGTTTCATATACTATTTCTACGGTTTCACAACAGACTGAGACATTGCTATTTTTCAACGCATCTAAAGCAGGACAGTTTAAAAACTATTTGCCAGACTTTGTAAAGAGGGTGCCATATTCCAGAAAATGGGAAACTTGGCAGTTCCTATGGTAACACTGGCAGAGTGAGGTAAATGATTTTTAAATCTCTGCAGAATGTAGAGACTAAAGATAAGCAGAGGAGGCAACTCTGCCAAGGGTGGGGCACAGCTTAAAGCAAGCATGGATACAGCCTGAAAGATGTCCGCAAAGGTCACCTGAAGTTAGGGCCCCTCAACAGTACAGAGGAGGCACAGCAATATCATTATGTAGTAGGGCAGGTACCTAGAGGGTCTTTTTTTTTTTTTTTTTTAAGGCATCATTTCTTGGGGCGCCTGGGTGGCTCAGTGGGTTAAAGCCTCTGCTTTCGGCTCAGGTCATGATCCCAGGGTTCTGGGATCGAGCCCCGCATCGGGCTCTCTGCTCAGCAGGGAGCCTGCTTTCCTTCCTCTTTCTCTGCCTGCCTCTCTGCCTACTTGTGATCTATCAAATAAATAAATAAAATCTTTAAAAAAAAAAAAAGGCATCATTTCTTACCCTTAACCCATAAGCAGAAGGCAGAGGCTATCAGTAGCAGGGGTGACAGATACACAAAAAGAAAAAGGAGATGACCAGGAAAGCCCAGATAGGATCCTCAAATATACATACTTTCCATAAGAGGTATCTTTTAATACCAATTCTGGAGCTCTATACCAGCGTGTGGCCACGTAATCCGTATAAACGTCCCCAGGAGCTGCTAGAGTTCGCGCAAAACCAAAATCACAGAGTTTAGTAATTCCTGACTGGGATACTAAAATATTCTCAGGTTTTATATCACGATGAATGATCTAAAAAACAAACAGAAGATGCAATAGATTAAAATGAGGTTTCATTATCTAGAGGATTTCTCAAAAATTATACAGAGAAAATCTAGTTAATTAAAACAGTAAAGATATTTTTCTACCACATGCAAAGTATTAATTATGTAAGGCAAAAGCTAAATAGTTATGTAGTTTCAATTCTTGCCCCATCCATCATCTCAAAATGAATGAAACCAGGGCCGCCTGGGTGGCTCAGTTGGTTGAGCCTCCAACTCTGATTTTGGCTCAGGTCACAACCTCAGGGTGGTAGGATCAAACCCTGCACTGGGCTCCATGCTCAGCACAGAGTCTGCTTGTCATCTCCCTCTATTCTGCCCTCCATCCCCCGTGCTCTCTCCCTTGCTCTCTCTCCCTCTCAAATAAATAGACAAATAAAACCTTTTTTGAAAAAATGAAATGAAGCCAAGAAAACAGACATAATACTAAAAAGGTAAATCACGATCCCAAAAAGAAATGTAATCAAAAGAATGTAATGAAAAATAGGTGATTTCCTTTAACCCCACATCTTCTAGATATAATTAACTGCCCTTTCTCTTATTCCTTCACAGCTAAAACTCTTGAAGACATTGTCTTTACTAAATCTTCTCTTTATCACCACTCATTCACCCCTTTAAGTAATATAAACTGTCTTTTGCTTTTACATTCCATTAGACTGCCCCAACCAGGGTCATCATGAACTTCATTGTTGCTGCAACCATTATACACACCTCAATACATATCCTACTTGATACTTTAGTGTAAAAATGTTGCCAACTACTCCTCCCTTCCTGATTTCTGGCATCTAAAATTCTTCCAGTCCCTTCTATTTCTGTGGCACTTCCTCTATCCCTATTTGTCTCTTAAAAGTAGGATTCTGGGGGCGCCTGGGTGGCTCAGTGGGTTAAGCTGCTGCCTTCGGCTCAGGTCATGATCTCAGAGTCCTGGTATCGAGCCCCGCATCGGGCTCCTTGCTCAGTGGGGAGCCTGCTTCTCTCTCTGCCTCTGCCTGCCTCTCTGCCTGCTTGTGCTCTCGCTCGCTCGCTCTCTCTCTCTCTCTCTCTCTCTGTCAAATAAATAAATAAATAAAATCTTTAAAAAAAAAAAAAAAGTAGGATTCTGGTCTCAGGTTTTCTTTTCTCATATATCATACTCCCTGGGCAATCACATCTACTCATTTGGGTTTTTCTGGGTTTTTTTTTGTTTGTTTTTACCATTTACTTCACTTGTCATGGGGAAACCATACTCTCTTGCCTTTCTTCTAACCTCAATCTCATTCTCAATCTTCTAACCTCTCAATCTCATCTACTCTTCTAGCTTTAGTAAGTAGCAATATACTGATCACTGACCCAGACACCCCTCAAATTTAGCAAATCCAAAACTGAATGTATCTTCTCCCCAAACCTACTTGTTCTCAACACTGTTAGCTCAGTGGATGCAACAAACATTGACCCCATGGCTCAAGCCAGAAACCAAGGTACCTTTCTCCTTCTGCTCCCAAACATACTTTTGTCCCTAGTTCAAGTCCCCACAACTCTCTCACCAAAATTACTACATTGCCAGCTGGTCTCCCTGAATTCATTATGATCCTCTCCAACCCACTGTCAACAAAGAAGTCACAATACTATTTTTAAATCACATGTGTGTGGCACCTGGCTGGCTCAGTTGGAAGAACATGTGACTCTTGATCTCAGGATCATGGGTTTGAGCCTTACACTGTGTGTACTGGTCACTAAAAAAATTTTTAAACATAAAAAAAAATCAATGTGTGATCATGTCACTTCTCTGCTTAACGTCCTTCAAGGATCCCCCATCCCACAGGATAAATTCCAAACTCCTGAAAACAGCTCATAAGGCTTTGTAGAATTTGGCTCTTGCTCACTTTCGCCACCTCCCTTCCCTAGACTTTAGGATATTTCCCAATTTTCCAAGGTTTAAATCATCTCCATGCATTTGCTGATGCTGTCCCAACTGCCTAGAACACTTTGCCTGGTGTACTTTCTCCTTAAGTCTTAGCTTAGATATTTATATTAGATGTTCCCTATATATGGTTTCACATCATTGTGTACTTCCGCCATCACATTGTTTGCCGTGTCCTATTATTAATTGCCTGTTTACTGTTTGTAACTCCCACTAGACTGGAAGCTCTGCAAGGGCAAGATGTATGTCTGTATTGTTCAATCTATATCTCCAGTAACCACAGTGCCTAAAACAAAGAAAGCATTTAAAATTTTTATGAAATGAATGAAGCATATTCTCATCACCTACAAAGTGTCATTACACAAGTGAAAACCCTCAGTGACAGAAATCTAAGATCTTTCCTTGTGTATGCAATTTATTGCTATAAGTCTTTGGGATTGGCTTTTTTTTTTTTTTTTGGCTTTTTTTTTCTGCCTCAGTCTCCCTCCATAATGGCCAAAAAATTAAGTTGGGGTAATGAGCCACCTTAAGTGTGACATCCATAAAACTGTATTAATCCTTCTTTATTTCTACAACTTTTACTGAATGACTACTATATGCCAGGCACTATATCAAGTTCTAATGATATAACCTGAGCAAACACTGATACAGAAAAGCACATCAAGATATCACTTCACATATTCTACGTACCACACATCCATCATCTTCCTCCTCAGTCCTTTAAACACAAGGCAGAAAGCTCCACCCAGCTGATAACCCTAATATTTTCATTCTTTTCCATAACTAACACCATGACTATATGTGGAATTTTGTTATCCTTGAGAACCAAGCACTTTCCAAATCCTAACTTTTAAAACTTGTTTGACTACAACCTCCTTGGTCTTCCACTATCACCTGGGACCCCCATAAATAAGGGATTTCTTTCTATTTGCTTAGATCTTGAATTTCTCTCAATGTTTATAGGTGTTATACATCTTTTGTCAGATTCTCCCTAAGTATTTCTTATATTTAAAGCTGTTTAATGGTGTTTTTTTTTTTTAAGATTTTATTTTTGCAGCATCTGGGTGGCTCAGTCTGTTAAGTGTCCCACTCTCGTTTTTGGCTCGGGTCATGATCTCAGGGTCATGGGATCAAGCTCTTTCCCTCCCTTCCCCTTTGCTCCCCCCCCCCCACCCAAGTGCATGCTCTCTCTCTTTAAAATAAAGAAATCTTTTTTAAAAATTTATTTTTAAAAAGATTTTATTTATTTATTTGACACACAGAGAGAGAGAGAGAACATAAGCAGGCAGAGTGGCAGGCAGAGGGAGAGAAAGAAGCGGCTCCCAGCTGAGCAAGGAGCCTGATGCTGGACTCGATCCCAGGACCCTGGGATCATGACCTGAGCCAAAGGCAGCCACTTAACCAACCGAGCCACCCAGGCATCCCTAAAAAATTTATTTTTAAGCAATCTTTTCACTCAAGCTGGGGGTTGAACCCAGAACCCTGAGATCAAGAGTCACATGCTCTACTGACTGAGCAAGCCAGGTGTCCCTGTTTAATGGTATTTTTAATTTGTTTCTTTTTTTAAAAGATTTTATTTATTTGACAGAAAAAGAGAGAGAGCATGAGCAGGGGGAAGGCAGAGGGAGAGGGAGAAACAGTCTCTCCACTGAGCAGGGAGCCCGACATGAGGCTTGATCCCAGTACCCCAGGATCACGACCTGAGCTGAAGGCAGGTGCTTAACCGACTGAGCCACTCAGACACCCCTGTTTTCAATTTCTGATTGTTGATTGCTAGTATATAAAAATACAATTAATTTTGATATATAGGTCTTATATCTCACAACTTTGATAAACTTACAAATTAGTTAATTTTGTTGCAGATTCCATAGGTTTTTTGTTGGTTTTTTTTAAGATTTTATTTATTTATTTATTTGACAGACAGAGATCACAAGTAGGCAGAGGGACAGGCAGAGAGAGAGGAGGAAGCAGGCTCCCCGCTGAGCAGAGAGCCCAATGGGGGCTCAATCCCAGGACCCTGAGACCATGACCTGAGCCAAAGGCAGAGGCTTTAACCCACTGAGCCACCCAGGCACCCCTCCATAGGTTTTTCTACATAGATGATCATATTATCTGTTAATAAATACAGTTTTACTTCTTGAAAAAAAAAAAAGACATTATTTTATACCCACTAGAATGGCCACAACCAAAAATGACAATAAGCAAATATTGGGGAGGAAGTGGAAAACTGGAATGCATTGTTAGTGGGGATGAAAAATGATACAGCCACTTATAAAACAGTTTGGTAGTTCTTTAAAGAGTTAAAACATAAATCATATGACCCATACGGTATTTTTTTCAATGTAAGCTCTACACCCAGCATGCAGCTTGAACTCATGAACCCTAAGATCAAGAGTCACAAATTCTACTGATGGAGCCAGCTAGTCACTCCTACCCATATAGTGTTCTTTTTTTTTTAAGATTCATTATTTATTTGAGAGCGAGTGCACATGCAGGAATGTAAGAGCTGGGGGAGAGGCAGAGAGAGAGAATCTTCAAGCAGACTCCACTGAGCTCCAAGCACCATGGGGTGGGGGTGGGGCACCTTGCTCTCCAGACGCAAACAAGGCCTGGATGCTTAACTGACTGAGCCACCCATGCACTGCACCCCGCTTCCCCACCGTCCCCACATACAGTATTCTTAATTTGCCTTATTTTACTTCCCTCTCTCTAGCTTCTGGGAGCTTTGTAAACCAACAGTCCCCAAAATCATGGTGAAAATCAGTAGCCTAGCAGCCACCAGAGAATATAGAACAGGTTACATCTCCTCCAAAAGCCCCATTCCCAGGTAACTATCAGTATTTGACCTGAGAAGTCACTGGAAAATCCCACTAGCTTTAGCCTTGCCTTTATTTGACCTAAGGCAGAACTTGCCTGGTGCAAACAGACTTTCTCCTGAGGCCTTGGTCGGAAATAATTAACAGCCACTTTACAACATTATAGCCACCCGAGGAAGCTGTAACAATTAGGACAAACAACAAGTTGACCAAAATACTTAAAAAGGTAGATTGGCAATAAGATGTCCATAAAGG